TACTGCTGCAATACTCTGCTAGGGGTTAATTCCCAAAAACCCTAACAAGTCCCTTTAATGCCTCCAACTTGGCCCCAATGTCCAATTATCCTCGGCTGGATATCAAACTCTTAAAAGAAAACAGTTTACGGAGGGAGTAAATGCAGTCCTCACCCAAAGTAAAGTTAATTTGAAATAAAAAACCCAACACAAACCACACTGAAGGAATTCCTACGGCAGGCAAGGATGATTAATTGCAGACTTCTACCAGATAACGCAGCAACCATAGTTGGGAGGAAGCCAAAACACAGATAAGCTCCTACAAGAATGCACGCTTTGCTTCCAGCAACTGTGCCATGAGCAGTTTGTCCTTTTAAACAGTCTTCCCAGCTGCAGCCCATGGAGGGGATCAGGACCCCTTCCTCCCCCATAGACCATGTCACTCACGTTTCTCCCTTTTCTGCTCCTCCCTGCGTGCCCTAGGATAAAGAGGGGGTGGGCCTGGGCCTTCCTCTGAATGCCCATCTGGCCTGTGCCCTTCCCCAGTTTCCTCCACAACCACCAGAGCCACACTCCCACTCCCTGTTGACTGTTCCATCTCTCCCTCAGAGTCAGACTCCAACAGGGGCATGACATATCCCTACAGAAGGTACGGTGATTAAAAAAGTCCTTGAATGTGCAGAAATGGATAAATTAACGATGGGAGTTAAAAAGATAAGGAGGAAACAGAATATTATAAGATTTGGGACATATGGTACGAGTGGCTAGAGGAGAAAAGTAAAGAATATGCATAAAATTACTGAAGAGTTACAGGAAATGTATATATAAGAAATTATAAAAAGGTAAATATAATTGTATAAATAGTAGAGAAATATATTAGGAATTGAAATTGAAGGTATTACTATGTAAATAGAGAAGAAGCTGACTCTGGTGTAGTCAAAAATGGAAATGTGGTGTAAATGTTTGGAAAATATGAAATAAAGATTATTTAAAAAAGTAAAAGAAAAGAAAAGGTAGGAAGGCTGGGGCCAACCTCACATGGGGAGCTGACGGATGGCGAGATGTTCCACCCGAGGGTAGGAGCAGCAGAGAAGGCTCTTCTCCTTGACCTCCCCCACCCCAGCTGGAATAATGGGGCTGATGGGACCTGCAGCATGCCTCCTCCCCCTCTGCCAGCACAAATGGTACAGGCCGGTCTCAGAGGGGTGAGACGGTCCCTCAAGGAACCTGGACGCGTGCCATGAAGGGCTTTAAAGGTGACCACCAACACCTTGAAGCAGACTGGTAAACAATTTAGCTGCGGGAGCAGCAGCCCGAGGGGTTGTTGGTTGGCCGACTTCTGATCAAAAAGGCTATGAAACATGACAGCGAAGGGCAGAGCAGGATTTGCCCCCTCAGCAGAACCCTGAGAAAAAGGTGCAAATGTACAGTCCCAATTTCACTTCACAGGCATCGCTTTCCCTAACGCTTCATCAGGAATCGTCTCTCCTAAGATGCTTTCTGGCACGAATTCCCTAAAAATGGTTAAGATTCCTGTCATGGTTTATCTCCACACATAGGAAATCATCCATTGTCTGCTTTCTAAGTAAAGAGGAACACTGTGATAGTGAGAGATAGGACAAATGGAGAACGTTCCTGATATGATTCAAGAACAATGATAAATTTACAACAGTGACTTTTCAACTTAGCAATCCCCCTAAGGTTTATCTGTGATCTTTGGCCTGCTGATCCAAATAGCTGTTGTTGTTTTCCAGAGTTAAGAGACAATATGTCACTGGATATGAATAAGCACATTTTGCAAATTAGAACAAAGAGCACCATTGGTTAAAAGGTGGGGGAAGTGCAGGGTCCTTGGTGCTCTCTGGGCTTAGTGGGTTTTTTTTGCAGACATTTCCATGACCCAACTAGGTAACTTCATCAGTACTAGAAGGGGAAGGGTGTGTGGAGTGGAGGAGGAGGAAGAGGAAGACTGTGGGGTCCTTGATACTTTCTGAGCTTGGTGGTTTTCTTTGGAAACGTTTCATGACCCAACTAAGTAACATCATCAATGCTAGAAGGAAGCAGGGTGTGTGGGGTGGAGGAGGAGGAGGGGGAGGGGGAGGAGGAGGACTGTGGGGTCCTTGATACTCTCTGAGCTTGGTGGTTTTCCTTGCAAACGTTTCATGACCCAACTAAGTAACATCATCAATGCTAGAAGGGAGCAGGGTGAGTGGAGGAGAATAAAGAGGAGGAGGAGAAAGAGAACTGTGTGGTCCTTGGTGCTCTCTGATCTTAAGTGGTTTCTTGCATGTTTCATGACCAATTTAGGTAACATCATCAGGGCTAGAAGGGAGCAGAGTATGTGGAGAGGAGGAGGAGGAGGAGGAGGACTGTGGGGTCCTTGGTGCTCTCTGAGCTTAGTGGGTTTTCTTGCAGATGTTTCATGACCCAAATAGGTAACATCATTAGGATACTGAGCTACAAATATTCTCTCCTACTGAAGGAGAGACTATTCATAGGGAAAATGATGTAAGGCTCCCACGGTTTGAACTGTGACACCCTAAGATATCAGTAACCAATTTGTAAGGTTGGAGATTTTGCAGGGCTTAAACTAACGTGGAATTGGTTCCTGTTTATTCAGGTGAAATAGGCTGAAGGCCCCAAAGGGGCTCTGATGCAAAATCTACCATGGTTTTGTTTGCCATGCAGATGGAAATTTTACAAGGGAAGGGTGGTGGTAGTAAGTTTTCTCCTTCTTACTACTCTTAATCCCAAAGGTGCTTTTTTCCAGAGGCAATTGGACTTTCTGGTTTTTCTTTGAAGATGTTTTGCTTCTCACCCAAGAAACTCCTTCTGAAGAGCTGAAGAAGCTTCTTGGATGAGAGGCGAAACGCCTTCAAAGAAAAACCAGAAAGTCCAATTGCCTCTTGAAAAAAAAGCACCTTTTGAGACAACCATGACTTGGAGGGCCGAGAATCTCCACAGACATCCCTCTGTTGATCTCTATGACATCCTAAGAATATCAGCAGAGTCCTGATAGATCACACAGATCACAATCAAACAGTCAACAACAAGCTATTCAAGGAATCACCCAGAACACTCCCACCAGTAACACTGACAAGGGCAAGCCACTGGTATATAAACACAGAGCAAACCCCGCTGCCTTCTAGCACTCATGATGTTCCCTAGTTGGGTCATGAAACGTCTGCAAGAAAACATCCAAGTTCAGAGAACACCAAGGAACCCATAATCCTCCTCTTCCTCTCTGCAAACCCCCTCCATTTTCGGACTGATGAGAGTACCTAGTTGGGCAATGAAATGTCTGCAAGAAAACCACCAAGGTCAAAAGAGCCCCAAGGACCCCACAGTCCTCCTCCTTCCTCTGCCCCTCCCCTCCCTCTCTTCTCCTCCTCTTCCCCTTCCCCTCCTTCTTCATATCTTCTACTACTCTGCAAACCCCACTCCCTTCTAAAATTAACGTTACCCTAAGAAAACAATCCAGCTCATCTTCTTCCTTCCTTACCCCTTCCCGCTCTCTCTCCTCCTCCTCCTCCCCTCTCTTCCTCCTTCTCCACTTTTTCTCCTCCTACACTTCACAAACCTCACTCCTTACTAGCACTGATGATATTCCCAAGTTGGGTCATGAAATGCCTGCAAGAAAGCAGCCAAACGCAGAGAGGAGGAGCCCAAAGGAGCCCACAGTCCAACCCTGAGCTTGACATATTCTCTTCTCTTGGTTCCAATGTGTCGCCTTGATACTATCATGTGTGAAGCACTTGTATCAGTGCATATTTACCATTGAATGCTTAAATGAACAAAATAATAATGATGATGATGATAGGCTGGGGGAATACCAAACAGGCAACAATTCATTACCTTCTTTCGTAAGTGGAAGACAGCAAAGCTCCATCTGGTCCTTTGGTGATTATTCCTACACAAATTTGATGTTCATCGATAACATGAGGGTTTTCCAAATGAACTGGGAATGGTCTAAAAGAAAAGGAGAAAGTCAACACAATGTAATCAAGGTATTTATAGAGATGGCCTTCATGGCTTAATACTTCTCTGCCTAATTCCTGAAACCAGGCAGAATGAGTAGGCAGCCACCTGTAGGTAGGTACTCAAAGGTTCAGATCCAGCAATTTGAAGTACCATTACAGGTAGTCCTCAACTTACAACCATTCATTTAATGATCGTCCGAAGTTACAACGGGACTGAAATAAGTGACCTACGACCATGCTCCACGCTTATGACCGTTGTAGCATTCCCCATGGTCATGGGATCGAAATTTGGATGCTTGGCTACTGGCAGGTACCCTGTTTCCTTGAAAACAAGATCCGACTGGAAAATAAGCCCTAGCATTGGTTTTTCAGGATGCTCGTAATATATAAGCCCTACCCCATAAATAAGCCCCAGTTAAGATTGTCGGCAAGACGGGTGCATTTGGAACTGTGTCTTCCCTGAAAATAAGACCTAACCAGAAAATAAGCCCCCAATTGGAGCAAAAATTAACATAAGACCTGCTCTTATTTTCAGGGAAACACGATATTCGTGACGGTTGCCATGTCTCAGGGGTCACGTGATCCCCTTTTGTGACGTTCTGACAAGCCAAGTCAACGGGGAAGCCGTATTCACTTTACAACCGTGTTATTATCTTAACAGCTGCTAAGATTCATTTAACAATTGTGGCAAGAAAGGTTGTAAAATTAGCCACAGAAATTTTGGATTGAGTTGTGGCTCTAAGTCCAGGACTACCTGCACATATTCATTAAATTCATTCCTACAATCTCCTCCATTGTGAGCGTTATTCCCTGAGAGGAAGGAGAGTTGACCATTTTCACAAGGGGAAAAGAGAATTCCTTTCTCTAAAGGAAGTTGTTAATTCCAAATCACATAATTCACTTGCATTGATGGCAACCATACGTAAATGTTCATCCTGTATTAAATAAGTCCAAATACCTACCAACCTTCTGCTCTTAATAATAAAAATGAAGCAGGAAGAGGGAAAAAAAAAACCTTTTCCCACATGTATCATGCAGATAATTGGCTGGGATGGTACCCAGTGACTTGAAATGGACATTCATGTTCATAAAGTAATGAGGTGTAAAAACAAAGTTGAACTGAGATCAATCCAAAGCAAAACTTGCATTCAGACTTAGCCGCAAAACATCTGTTGAGATTCGTATAAATTTATCACAGCCTTCACATCAAATTTGGGGCTTCCGGTTGACGTCACGGCAAACTCAGTAGCAGAGAACAGAAAGCTCCGTTCCTGCACTGGTCTTCAGCTGTTTGTGGGCTCCAAAAGCCTTGGAGGGGCAGTGAAGCTGTGGAGGGGTGCTCTGTGAGGTCCCAGAGGAGAACGCAAGTTCTCTGTGGAACCCTGGAGCTTTTCCCTCTTTGCCACGACGGTGGCAAACGGCGAGAAGAGTCTAGTCAAAATGGCCACCATGGAGTCACAACAGCAGTGAACAGCGAAGAATTGTGCAGGAGAGGAGAAAGTGGATGATATACGGAGCTGGGTGAGAAGAATTATTTAAAATTTACCCCAAAAAGTTTTTGCCAGGAAAAAAGGATCTCACTGTCACATTAAAAGCGGCGGTTTAAGCACTAAGAGAAAGACTTTAAAAACAGAAAGGGAAAAAAGGAGAAGAGGAAGCAACTTTCGGAATATGGAAAATATAGAAAATTAGAATTTCTAAGAAAAGAAAATATTGTTTTGTGGACTCATATTAAAATGTTGGAAACAAGATATTCTAAAAATTGGACTCTTTACAATTTTGAATTGATATTTTAAAATTGGAAACTGGCTAAAATTACAGGATTTAACTGCATCACCAGCGAACAAGATATTCCCAGGAAGTAAAACTTATACTGAAGTGACTTTGAAAGTTTTCATAAAAGGATTGAAAATAAGGTATAAGAACTTTAAACCTTGTGAGGACTGATTTTGGCGTGGATATTTGACTTGGATATTTGGACTATTGTATTTTCGGACTTAGAAACAAAAGAAAACATTAAAAGAAACTAAACGAGGTGAGTTACCAACAAGAACGAAATGGGAGTTGGGAAGAAATGATATCGATACTTATGGATATTAAGGACAGCCGGGACAGAGTTCTTAACAAAATGCAGAGCATAGAGGAAAAGATGGAAAGGAGCATGCAAGACGTACAGGAAAAAGAAGAAGAATCAATTAGAGGACCAGAAGAGAACGTAGAAAAAAAAATCAACAAAAAGACTATGATGATGAGAAAGAAGAGACAATAAATATACGTAATAACAATGGATGCAACAAACAGAAAGGAGAATATGGAATTGAAAGAGTAAATAAAATTGCAAAATGATTTCCCCGTGAGAGAGAAAAAAACAAGAGCAGACATTCTGAATACTAGACAATGGAACAGGATGGAGAAGGGAGAAAAGTTCAAAACAACAAGTTACAAAATGGAGGCAGACAGGGACAAAGATCTGAGAGAGGAATATGGGAGGTGAGCTGTGAAGAGAAAATTTAATTTGCTAAAACAAATAAGAGACAATGGTTAAAGAAAAATTTCATTCTTTTTAAAAATAATTCTTTTTTCTTTTCTCTCTCTTTTTTAATATAAAAAAGATATAATTAAACTGTAGACAAGGTCGAAATTAATGAGAGGGGGAGTAATGGAATATATGAAATGAAATTTAAATGATAGTTAAAAGTAGTGATTAATATAAAAACAATGTATTGAAATATTGATTAATTAAATAATGGAAATATAGAATTTAATATAAATAGGATTATTATTAATAGAGCTATAAGGATTTGTTAAAGGTATTAAATGTATTATAAGATGATAATAAAATTGTAAGAGGACTCTCCCCTGAGAGAAATAAAAGTAAGAGTAGATATTTTGAAAATTAGACAATGAAATAGGGCGGAGAAGGGGAAAAGGTTCAAAATGTGCAAGCAGATAAGAATAAAGATTTGAGAGAGGAATATAGGAGGTGAGCTAAAAAGAATATGTTTAGTATTTTAGAACAATAAAAAGAGAGAGAGATAATGGTTAAAGAAAAAACTCCATCATTAAACTTATCTTTATCTTTTCTTCTTTCTCCAATATAATAAAGATATAATTAAAAGTAGAATAGTGTTGGAAATAAGGGGGGGGGGGGATAAGAGAGTATATGAAATGGAATTTGATTGATTGTTAAAGTGCTAGTTTAATATTAACAGGATTATTATTAGTAGAGGACTTTTCAAATGTATTAAGTATGATTAATGATGTTTTATCTGTGGTAAAAAGGAAGGATATATCTGATGAATGAAATGTTACAATAAAAAAGAAAATATATCAGGGAATATTCTTGTAGTGGCATAACTGAAAGTTAGAATTGGGATGGAATTGGAGAGGGGGGAAATAATGGTATATAATTTTTTAATAAGATGATGTAAGAAAAAGAAAGGAAATCAAAATTTGAATGAGGATGACATTAAGTATATTTGAATAATATGAGGATTAGCATAAAAGAATTATTATAACAAAATACTGAATATATAAATGAATAAGAGATTAAATGGAATATAAGGATGTGTATTAAGGTTGGAATGAAATAAGATTATGAAATATAATTAATATGATTATTAATATGTTATTGGATGTAAAATGGAAACACCCAGATGTTATATTGTTCACACATTGATATGTACGTAAAATAAAAATAAAAAACTTTGGGGGGGAAAAATAGAACAACTTAAGTTCGCATTATGTATGAGTTAAAGGGAGTTACTTTGCAGTAAGACAGGCAGCCTATAAACTTTTATGAATGAATTAGCTCGATACCTGTGCTTCGCTATGAAACTATGTGATCGGGCTTAATTTTTGGGGAGGAAAATAAGGGGGGGGGGATTCTGCCTCTGCCTCCCAGCATCCAGGAATTCATCTGGTTAGCGTCCTGTCAGTGTATGAGAGAGTTGAGGACTTTTTGGAAACTAAAACAGTATTTGCTATGTGAACAAAGAGAAGACAGCAAGGAGCCTGGGCGTGGCTTAGCTCAATTGTTCTGTACTAAAGCTGCTTGGTGCTGTGAAACGGAAAGTGAAACTCCTCTCCTCTACTTGTGTTTTGCATTTGGAACAGATTTCTTTTCAGGTGGGGAGGGGGAGTAGAACTCCTTAGCATCAGAGCATGTTAATAATAATAATAATAATAATATACAAAATACTAATAGCTCTGATGGTCATTTTGAAAAATCCTTTCTTAGCGAGCACCTAGAAGCCAAAGGGAACATACATGCCAAATTTCAAGTTTGTAGGCTTTACAGTTCTAGAGATTTTGTAATGATGTGTGTGGGAAGTGTATTCATTTTGTGACTCAAAACTCAAGATGAAAAAGGGAGGTTTTCCTTTTGAAGTAAGGAAATGTGGTATCAAGCACTGATTAGAATGTTGACTGATCTTGGAATGTTTTTGAAGTGCTGGGAACTCTCACACATTTTGGAATGCTTTTGAAATGCCAGATAAGTAAGGAAGTATCTGTTACAGCTAGGCACCATGAAAGATAATAAAATGTAACTTGTATCCTGAAAGATAGATTGTAAATCAAGCCATTTGTATATTGGGAGGGGGGAGTAGAAGGGGGTAGTTTTGGGTATAAGAGTAGAGCCTTTAAGCTTTGCCTTCGTTCCTCCCATCTGCCAGGGCAGGAACCCGTTTCTGCAGAAATGTTACAATAAAACCTTTTTCCTTGGATCAACTTTGAATCCTGGTGGTTTTTCTTAGCCACAATCTCACATGTGTGATTGGTATTTTGCCTTTATGTATATAAACAAACAAATGTAGAATGAAGGCAAACATACAAGTAGTCCTCAACTTACGATGGTTCGTTTAATGACTGTTCAAAGTGTTAGGCTAATAAGGAAAGAAATTAAAAATATTAGAGAGAGAGAGAGAGTAGAGAGTTACTCTATAAGCATGTCTTATCTTGATGTTAGGCAGTTGTTTTCCTATGTAT